GCCACGACCCACGTTTGAACGACGCAAGGTATGGAGATCGAGAACATCGTCGCGAACACTGTTTATATAAAGGCCAGAGAGAGTGAGTTATTCATCGCACTTACTATCATTGTTTGTTTCCTTCCTTGTGCTGTTGCGATATGTGTCGTTTTGTCCATTTGCAGAAAATACGCGTTTCACTTTTTCGTGCCAATGATTGCCATTTTTGCTTCTTCTTTTCAATTTGATTCTTTAATATTTTCCAGGTGGCGGACAGAAAAAGGGTAAGAGCAAGAAGTGGAAAAATTATCTTCAATTCCCACACTACACCGAATGTCTGCCATTACGCTCCGAAATCGATGTTAGGTAGTGCTTGAGATTACTTACACACAGGTTGCAATAAGCTCAAGCAGACAGTAACTCGAATGTATATATTAACATCGCAGTCTTTTGATTCTAATCCACAAAAACTGATGTTAGGCACTTCCGAAATTATGAGTATACTTTCTGACTGAACCTAATGCAACTGATGATCCATACTTCACCAGGTCATCTTACTATGCCACACTTGCATCATCATATCCCTTGAATGATTATCCGCTTCTGTGCGTTTGGAAATGAGCGTTTGGACATCGACCGCTCTTAGCTTTTTCCGCGCGAATTAGCATTTATGCTATCATGAGTTCTATCAAATTAATCGTCCCCATTTTTTCCAGGTCACATTCTTGATCCATTAAATAGTCATATGCTGTGGTATATATAATAAGCTGCTGTTTCAGTGTGTCATGCGATGTTTCCTGCCTTGTAGAGACTTTTATATTTGCTTCTATTAATCTCTTTACCGCATTAGGAATCCTTTGGATATAGTGTTTAACTTTCAGATAAAGAAACAATAAGCATGTGCAGTTGTTTTTGTTTTTTTTTTTACTTTTTTTTTCATTTTTCGCGCCCTATTCCCCATTTACAAGACGAATTTTGTGATAGACTTTGTTCTATGAACATATTTGCAGCTACTCATATATCGTGGAGAAACAGCCAATTGGGAAGTTGTTATTCCACGATTTTTGTGAGTCAACCAACCTTCAGTACTATCAGTCTTGTGTGTTTTTGAATAAGGTGGGTTCTTTGGTTTTTTTTTGTGTTGTTTTTGTTTACAATATGAGTAAATTTTTACTTCTAGGTCGAAGAGTACGAGACCTCTGATGATGATGTTCAGTGCCGGCGCAAGTTAGCACGAGCCATTGTTGGTCTTCTTGCCCCTGGTGGTGATACTCCATCAGTACGCTTTATCTAACATATTCTTTCTTTTCTTTAGTACCCAGTTTTCAGTCATCGCAACATGATCACAGCCCCTGGTGTTCATTTTTGCCTGAAAATGTTGTTGGTTCTGTTCTTGTCGCTGCTGACTCTGCCACACATGATCAGGAGCCCCGCACAGATCTTTTTGCGGAAGCGTACAAGTATGCTTGCGATGTTAATGATTTTATTTTGACCATATTACTTTTGTAGTGAACATTACTTTTTATTGGCCTTTCCTCTTTCGTATTCCTTTTGGTTTATAGAAAATCGCATATAGTGTTTTTTTTCCAAATATCTAGCATATTAACTTGTTGCAATTGTAATTAGGCTGATGACAAGTCGATTTCAAAAACATTTTCATACAAAACTTCCTGGTGTAATCTAAGATAATTTCTAGCAGATTTTGTTTTAGACTGGTTCGTGCCTATCTTGCTGATGAGCCTTTCAAGCAGTTTCTCGATTCGATCCAGTTTTATCGCTACCTGCAATGGAAATGGCTAGAAAAACGTCCTGTAGACAAGCATACCTTCAGATTGTACAGAGTTCTTGGCAAAGGCGGATTTGGGGAAGTGTGCGCATGTCAGGTGAGCCATATCTAATGTTGTTCAACTTGTTCAGTAGGCACTTCTTAGCTCTGTCACTATGAATCTGTAAATAACAAGAAAAATCGTCAGATCCATGCTTGAGGAAAGCTAAGTTCTTTAAGCATGGCAGTTTTTGACTATCTTGTTGAGAATGCATTTTGCCGGAAATTCTCAGTGGATGCATTAGTCAGTGGGTCCTTCTCTCTGCACGGGTTTTGTTGAAAAGAAGAGCACCGGAAGTCGTGTTCTGTGAAGTTCAGTTACTGAAGTAGATTTAGGTGCGAGCGTCTGGAAAAATGTATGCGTTGAAGAAGCTGGAGAAGAAGAGAGTTAAGAAACGGCACGCGGAGACCTTGAGTCTGAATGAGAAACAAATCTTACAGCGAATTAATTCCCCTTTTGTAGTGAGTGTGCCATTTTTTCACTTGAAGTTTTTTAATAACAAGAATTTAGAATTCTCCAGCATGCAAACTACTCCTCCGAATTTAAAAAACTTTACCGTCGTAGCCTTTTTAAAATTTATTTTCTGTTCAGGTTAGCCTCGCCTACGCTTACGAAACGAAGGATGCACTTTGTCTTGTCCTTACGCTGATGAATGGAGGTAATCCGGAGTGATGTCCATTTTTGATGCACTTCACCTTTTCTCTTTTTTCTTTGACTTTGAGCATTAACAGTCATCCGCAAAACATTTAGGCGATCTTAAGTTTCATCTGTATAATCTGATGCCCGGTGGTTTCGATGAGAAGCGTGTACAGTTCTATGCTGCCGAGATTACTCTTGGCCTCCAACATTTACACAAAGAACGGATATTGTATCGCGATCTCAAACCTGAAAATATTTTGTTAGATGATTTTGGTAAGCAATATGCTTTATTCTGTAGAATCATCACATTTAATATGTTCCTTCATAAGGTTAATTGTGTTTGAAGCGTTTAAGTACTAATAACACATGGAATTGTGCATAGGAACTGAATTCTCTCCCGTTT